TCATTTGAATTTATTTCATTACTCTAGACATGAAAATTTCATTGGTTATTTGTATTTATTCTCTAGTGAGTCGTTTTTTCTTCTTCTTTTGCCACTCTTTTGTTGGGCATTCTTTTGTTTTGGTTTGGTTTGGTTTACTTAGATTTTTACATATGAAAGATACATACATATATATATATATATATATATATATATATATATATATATATATATATCTGTGTGTGTGTATCTGTGTGTGTGTGTGTGTGTGTCTCCCAGTTTGTCCTTTGGCTTCTCATTCTGTTTTGTTCTGTTTTGGCTCGTTTTGTTTTAATAGATTTAACAAATTCATTGTATAGTGACACACATGTAACATTATAGCATCATACAGACTATAGTTGATCCTTGAACAATGTAGGGATTAGGGCTGCCAACCCCCACACCCCCAATCGACTTATAACTGGAACACCTGGGTGGCTCAGTGGATGAGTGTCTGCCTTCGTCTCAGGGCCTGATCCCAGGGTCCTGGGATCGAGTCCCACATAGGGCTTCCCACAGGGAGCCTGCTTCTCCCTCTCTGTGTCTCATAAGTAAGTAAATAAAATCTTTAACAACAACAAAAACAACAAAATCCACATAGAACTTTTGACTCTCCAAAAACTTAATGTCTAATAGCCTACTGCTGATCAATATCATAAAAAGTTGAGTCAAGTAACACATATTTTGTATATTATATGTATTATATAACTGTATTTTTGCAATAAAATGAGCTAGAGAAAAGAAAATGTTATTAAAAAAATCATAAGGAAGAGAAAATACACTTACAGTCCTGGACTAGTTTATGGGGAAAAAGTCTGCATGAAGTGGTCCCATGCAGTTCAAACCTGTATTGTTCAAGGGTTATCTGTGGTGTCACTGCCCTGAAAACCCTCCATGCTTTGCCTGTTTATCCCTTCTCCTGCCCCCAATCCCTGACAACCACAAATCCTTTAGCCATGTCCATCAGTTCTACCTTTTCCAGAATCACAATCTGTAGCATTTCCAGGCTAGCATCCGGGTATCTTTCACTTAGTGATATGCATTTGAGGTTCCTCCATGTCTTTTCATGGCTTGATAGCTCATTTCTTTTTGGTGCTGAATGATACTCCCTTGTCTGGATGGACTGAAGTTTGCTTATTCATCCACCTGCTAAAGGACATCGTGCTTGCTTCCAAGTTTTGCAAATTACGAGGGGCCACCAAAGGGTGGCATTATCTCCAGCCCCTTCCCCACCGCCAGCAGGGTTCCACACGCACACAGCACCACCTCCAAACCCTGCATGCCCTCTCACCCCGTGGGGCGGGCCCAGGTTTCCAGAAAACAGATCCAGGGGGGAGACTCACTCTGGCAGAGTCCAGGCTGGAAGAGTCCCTGCTCTGCTGCTGCAGCCAGGGCACTGGTTCCCTGCAGGGGGAAGGGGCCGATTTCAAGCCAGGAAAGAGCCCCAGAGACAGGATCTTCCACACACCCTCCAGGGGCAGCTTGTCTCCAGGCAGAAGGCTGCTTATCCCCTGCCATGACTCCTGAGGGGGAAATTATTTGCATGAATTCATTGATTGATCCATTAACTCAAGACGCTATGCTTGGGGCCTACCACCGGGGTTCACTGGACTTACTGTTTTATCCAACTCAGAAGGCTCAGGATGAAGAAAAACAAGAGCAAATTTAGAAGTTTGGATATTTTAAAAACATTAAAATCCGGCCCCAATGCCTCTTTGACCTTGAGAACCACAACAGTTTTGGAGGTTTTCTCCTCCTCACTCCAGCTTTCTCTGAATAGAGACCCTTCCTATGATATGCCGTTCTCTGCTGCCGTGTAACAAATGACTCCAACCCTTAGCAACTTAAAAACAACCCCGTCTTATTGGCTGGCAGTTCTGGCTGGCCCGGGCTGAGTCACGGACACCGCTGGACACTCAGCAGCTGTAGCTGGTGTGGGGAGGGGCTGAAATGGCCTCTGTCCACAAGGTCTGGGGGCTGTGCCGCTGCTGTGGGCAGGTTGCTCCCCCTCCTGCCTCCTGGTCCCCTGCCACCTGTGCCCGGGCTTCCTTACGTGGCAGCCGCCCAGCAGTGGGCGAGCCTGCTGCCAGGCTCCTGAGGCCAGGTCTGGACGCCAAGGTCACTCATGCCACATCCCCTCCGCCAAAGCACCAGGGGTGGGGACACGCCCACCACCCTCTAGGAGCCGCTGCGGAGAATCCCAGAGGCTGCGTCTACTCTCCACCCACCTGATGTGGCCAAAGTTACTAAGTGGAGAAAGAACTCGCTTTGCATGTTCGGCTGTGACCGTGCCGGCTTTGCTCTATTTCGTTTGTTTCTGCATTCGGGTGATCCTCAGAAAACAACAAAAACTGAGAGTTGTCACATTCCTTGGAGTTTAGCGTCTCTCCTGGCTCTATCTGTGACACATTTTTAACTTGTAGTATTTTGGGAGTGATTGCCTAAATAAACCATCCATTTCATTTTAATGCACCACACATAATAATTTTATGAACAACCCAAATTACACACAGCACATTTGAATATGCTTAAAGCCAAACTGTTCTCCATGTGTAAACATAAAAAATAAAAACTGTGATTTTAGTTTTCTCCAGATCCTTCTTTACTGTTCTTTTTCTACGGCTTCAAAGTTCACAGATATTTTGCACGTTTGTCCCGGGCTTGAGTATTAAGTGGCCGTGTGTTCTACGCCGGGACCGTGCTGGGAGCTGGCCATGCAGAAGTCACTGAGACACGCTTGTGTCCTCGTGGCAACGGGTCTCAATGGAGAAACAGGTGTTATGTTAGGTGAAGGAGGTGGCCACAGGGTCATATGCTATTGCAGGCCCTACGCCGTGGAGACCCAAGGCTTCCATCAGCTTTGCTCTGGTTTGAACCCCTGGAACTCTGGTGGTAGTCCCAAGCATAGCGTCTTGAGTTAATGGATCAATCAATGAATTCATGCAAATAATTTCCCCCTCAGGAGTCATGGCAGGGGATAAGCAGCCTTCTGCCTGGAGACAAGCTGCCCCTGGAGGGTGTGTGGAAGACCCTGTCTCTGGGGCTCTTTCCTGGCTTGAAATCGGTCCCTCCCCACCAAGCCCCTGGGGAACCAGTGCCCCGGCCACAGCAGCAGAGCAGGGACTCTTCCAGCCCGGACTCTGCCAGAGTGAGTCTCCCCCCAGGATCTGTTTTCTGGAAACCTGGGCCCGCCCCACGGGGTGAGAGGGCCTGCAGGGTTTGGAGGTGGAGCTATGTGCGTGTGGACCGCTGCTGGAGACCGGGAAGGGGCTGGAGATAATGCCACCCTTTGGTGGCCCCCCCTCTCCAGCCGGGTTTGGAGGCGAGCCCGGGATGGGCCGGCCAGCTTGGGAAGCATGCAGAGCCCACGAACTCCCAGCCGCGGGGGCCTCATTGTTCAATAAGCAGATTATGAGATGCTGCATCAAGTGGCGTGGTGGGGGGCTGTCCTCAGGCCCGAGACTTGCCTTGTTTTGCACACAATGATCGTGTAACGCAACCCGGTCAGGGTCCACGCTGCAAGGCTGCGCCTGCCTCAGCCTCTTTGGGTCTGAGTGTGCTGCTCGGCCGCAGTGGATCAGCTCATCCGCCTCCCTTCCCGCGCAGCCGCCTATGTGCACCGGAGCCTGTCCCGTTGGAAAGCCCAGGGGCCCCACGGGAACAGCAGGACCGGCTCAGCCCCCTTCCTGAGACAGGGAGGGAAGTAAAGCCGCTGCGTCCTGCACGCCAGGCCGATTATTGTTCTAGAAGCAGCAAAGGTTCTAAAAAGCCAGTCTTTCTCTTTGAGGAAGTTCCAAGTCACAGGGGATTGTGCTCGAACCACCCAAAGTGACTTTGTGTGGAGACCTGGTGCCTTTTGGAGGAAGAGATGCCTCGGGGCTGAAACAGGGAGGCAGGATAATCAATCGCTGTCGGGTCTCTGTAGGATGCTGGAGTCGGGCCTGGAACGGATGCTTGCCTTTACTCCGGTTACGTTTCCGCGGTACTTGCTAGATATTGCCGTTAAATCTCAAGAGGTGGCATTTAACCTGTGGTGTGGCTGAACCGGAGGAATAAGGTATTTTGCAACTAGGGTTTTAAACAAATTCGTGAACTAAAAAAAAGAAAAAAAAAAGCCTAAGTGGGGTTGTGTTGCTGAATTTGGAACTTCAAGGCAATAAAATATGCTGGTGAGGACCTGAGCCACAGAGCGTAGCTTCAAGTCCCAGCTGCAGCACCTGCTAGCTGGGTGACCTCGGGCAAGCCACTTAACCCCTCTGGGCCTCAGTTCCTCTCTTCTGTACAATGAGGGTAATGACATCACACATTTCGAAGGATTATTGTGAGGATTATAGGTAATAAATGCACATGAGAAGTGGGTAATACAGAGCCAGGCCCATTCTGAGTGGCCTAATATATGTTCGTTATTCGTATTATGAGTATCAGTAGCCCTCGTGTTTTCTTACTGAACCATAAACTGAAGCAGCTTTTTTTTTTTTTTCAGGAAAATAGTGAACTTAACAAAACTTAAATAGAAGCCCCATGCTGTTCATGAAACAGCTTCTCCTAGGGAACTCTGAGGACCAGGGTGCCCGGTGCCCAGCGCTCTGCTGCTGTTAATCCTACATGAAGCCCTGGCACCATCCTCACGTTGCACCTGTAGACACAAAGGCTCAAAGCGGCTTGGTGACCTGCCCAAGGTCTCCCTGCCTCGGTGACCTCATCAGGGTGACCTCATCTGTCATTAGGGCAGGTTACTGCCTCGGTTGAGCTGGGGTGCAGTTTGGTCATACACATGCTTCCCCTTCCACACAAGAACGGGACTGAGCATGACTGTGATAGGCCTCATTCATTCATTCATTCATTCATTCACGGGCGCCTGCGGAGTGCCCACCAACCGTGTGGCGCCTCCCGTCATGTCTGTGTGTGGGTTTGAGCCTGGGCCCACGTTTAAATGTTTCCCCTACGCCCTCCCTGCCCTGCCCCGGTGGCTGCATGGACAGGGAACCACATGGCCATCCCACGACCTGCCCCACCAGCTCCCCCTCGGGTGCCGATGCCCACCTGCGGTTCCCGGATGGCACCGGCCTCCTGCAGACCCCACGCTGGGACGAGCCGCAGAGGGCCTGTGCCCTGGAGCAGATCTGTGGGGTGTTCCGCGTCGACCTGGGACAAATGCGCTCCCTCCGCCTCTTCTTCAGGTGAGAGCCTCTCTGGGCAGCTTCCTGGAAGCTGGCTGGTGGTACAGGTGTCCACCAGTGGCGGGCGGGGCTTCGGGTCCAGGGCTGTGCTGGCCTTCCCAGCTGTTTGCTCCCTAAGCTCGGGGGCAGGGGTACCCCGCGATGGCTGCCCCCGGGGAGCGGGTGGGGGCAGCTCTCAGGCTCTTCCAGGTCTCTCAGGGTGATGGGGGCTGCACAGAGAGCGGCTACAGGTGCTCCCAGCCACCTTTCTCATGGTGGGTGGACCATCCTTATTAGTGTCCTATCTAGTAGCCACATCACATCTCTCCTGGAAGGCACGGTGGCCCAGCCGCAGAGTAGCCCCAAGCTAAGACCTGTGTGCGAAGCAGGCATGTCCCTGGAGGGGTCCCGGACCCAGAGGCACACTCTAGCCCTTTACGGAAAGACAGGCAAGGTTGGGCTGACGGCCCCGTTGGATGTGTAGCGAGCTGCCCTGGAGGAGTCTCCCAGAGTGCCCTCCAGTGCCGCCCTACCTGGGTTCAAAACCGGCTTCCACCTAACGCCATGCACCCCCGGGTCTCCCAGAGAGGAGGGACCGTCCGGCGGGTGGGGACACCAGGCCCCTGAGCAGCCCTCCAGGGAGCCAGGACAGTCCTCCTTCCCAGCCTCCCCAGGAGAGGCTTGTTTGGCCTTCTTCAGCCAAGGGGGGTGGTGGCTTGTGTGCGGGTATAACGCTGTCCCCCTGCGGCCAGCAGCCAAACTCCGCGGGGCCTTCCTGTTTCCTGCCTCTGAGGTCAGTGATAGGGGCCTCTGATTATACTTGGAAATAAAAGCCCCGTGTTTCCACATTCATCGCTCCGTCTTCCCCCTCCCGCGGCGGCTCAGCGATGAGGCCTGCACCAGCGGCCAGCTGGTCATCGCCAGCCGGGAGAGCCAGTACAAGGTGTTCCACTTCCACCACGGCGGCCTGGACAAGCTGTCCGACGTGTTTCAGCAGTGGAAGTACTGCGCTGAGACGCATCTCAAGGACCAGGTACCCCGGGGGGCAGAAGGGCGATGCCTGGGGGCGGAGGTGGGGGAGGGGAGGGGAGGCCCCACCCCGGGACTCACTCGGCTGCCCGCACCGCCCACAGGGGGCCAGGGCCTCCCCGCACCGCACCTAGCACTCGCAGGGCGTGACCCTCAGTGGCCCAGGGCGGCCCCTGGTCGCTGGGTGGCTGATAGAGCAGCGACTTCGGATCTGAAGCAGATGCCTGGGTCTTCTTGTAAAGTCAGAGCTCTGCACTTGAAAAATCATGTTTTGACAAGGCTTCCTGCCATATTTTGCTCAATCTACATACAAATGTAATAAGAGCTCTTTAATTATCTGTTCAAGATACTGTATGTGCTTATTAGGACGGGGCTGGCTTGAAGATCCCCTTCCTTCCCACAGAGCCTCCTGCTGGCTCCCCTTATTACAGTAGTGTGGCTTGCTTTTCCCCCTACATTGAACAACCTTTGATTTTTGAATTAAATGTCAGCTGCAGTTTTGCCCTGGATTCGTGACTGCCCGTGGAGACAACCTGACAGGCGGGCTCCCTGCTCGGGGAACAGCGGTCCCTTTGTTTGTGACCAATCACATGTAATTTATTGCAGGCCCTCCCGGCAGAGGGAAGTTGGGCCGAACGAGGCATTAATTCCGTTTTTGCGGCCGGGGGTCGCAGGGAGAGTGGGGGAGGCGGCGAGGGGGCGGCGGTCGTTTGCTGGGTCGGTCGGTGGGAGTGGGCCCGGGAGCCCAGCGACCCGGGAAACCGATGTTAAGATGAAGGTATTTTCATTTTAATTGCATCTAATTACACTTGCCATTTAGGGGTTTGTGTGGGGGGAGAGCGGGTCCCCCCTCCTTGCAGGGGGGAGAGAGAGGGAGGCTTCCCCATCCCGGGAGAGCGAGCGCGCTGGCTTGGGCAGCCTGCCCGCGAGGTGCTTATCTCCCGAGTCTCGTCCCGGCCAGCAGGTCGCCGACGAGAAGACGTGCATGCAGTTCTCCATCCGACGCCCCAAACTGCCCTCCTCCGAGACGCACCCCGAGGAGAGCATGTACAAGAGGCTGGACGTGGCGGCCTGGCTGCGCCACCTGAACGAGCTGGGCCAGGTGGAGGAGGGCTACAAGCTGCGAAAGGTGAGCCGGGGGCACCCAGGGCCACCTCCCCGGCGGGGGGAGGGGGGGTGCCAGCCCCTCGCACGCAAGGAGGCGCCGTGTGAGCCCGATAAAGCAATCAAAGGCTCTGCGTTGAAAAGCAAACCTCCGGAGCGGGTTTGGGGGACCCGGCGTCAGCCTGCATAGAAGAGCTCCCGGTGAAATGCAGCGCTTCCAAAACCGGGATTAGGCCATGACGTGAGAACGACACGATAATCTGAGCGCCACACCAGGGTGGGCATTGACATTGAAATGAGCCTGGTTGTGTCCTGTATGGGAATGGAGGGCCGCCACTTTCCCCTCCAAACATGTGCAAATCACAGCGACCTGAATCAAGGCATCAGTTGTCACCCAGGCACAGCACAGCCACCAAAACACAAATCTCCGGGGACTGGGGGTGCTCTGAGCCGCCCCGTCTCGGCCCCTCCCCAACCTTTGCCGCTTCCTGCAGGCCATTTTCTTCGGCGGCATTGATGTGTCAATCCGGGGGGAGGTCTGGCCCTTCCTGCTGCGATATTACAGCCACGAGTCCACGTCTCAGGAGCGGGAGGCTCTGCGGGCGCAGAAGCGCCAGGAATACGCCGAGATCCAGCAGAAGAGGTAAGGGCGCCCCGCCCCGGCCGCTGGGGGGTCGGGGGTGTCCGTCAAAGAGGTGCAATCCCGCTTTGACAGTGTAGACCGTGACCCAGACTTTCTTTGGACAGTGGGTCCCAGGCACAGAGGGATGGGCTCGGACCAGTGCCGTCACCCGGCCCCCGCTCTTGGCCTCATTGCTCCCCAGCTCTGTGTCAAGGGTTGAGAGCCCCTTGTCACCGGACTTCACAGGGCACCGGCCCCCCGCTGAGAGTGCAGCCGGCTGCGGGGGGGGGGGGGGCCCCAAGGGGTCTCTCCCAGCCTGGCTGACCCCGGGCTGCTCCCCAACACTGGATAACTGCACACACACCCCCATTAGTGGGGAGCCCCCACGGGGAGCAGGGGTGGGGAGGAGCGGGCCCTGCCTGCAGCCTGCACGCTGGCGCTGCTCGCTGAGCCCCCGCGGACCCTCTGCTCCGTGCCAGGCTCTCCATGACTCCTGAGGAGCACAGAGCATTCTGGCGCAACGTGCAGTTCACGGTGGACAAGGACGTGGTCCGGACCGATCGGAGCAACCAGTTCTTCCGGGGCGAAGACAATCCAAACGTGGAGAGCATGAGGTATGCGCCGTCCCGGCCAGCGAGGTCCCCTGAGAGGAGGAGAGCCCGTCACCCCCATTTCACTTCCTCCCCTGCCTCTGTGAGTGTCACCTTACCCCCTGGGCCTCAGCGGGCCGCCTGGGAAGGAAAGGAGAGGCAGCACTTCTGCCGGGGTGGGGGGCTGTCCAGGTTCATACCATCGACTCCCTGGAAGCAGAGGATTGTTAGCTATTTTAGGCCACGTCAGTCAACGTCTTGTGGCCACAGCGTCCCCCGGGGGGCCCTGTAGGTTCCAGCAAAGCCTCCCATGCCCTGGGCATCCTCAAGCCTGTGTCCGCTTGGCTCCCACCAGCCCCAGATGGGCCTCCCTGGAGCCTCCCAACGGGTGGTCCTCCGCCGATAAAACCGCACAGAGCCCGAGGCTGGCATCTTTGACATTCTGCTGCCTGGCGAATGATTGCACAAAATTAGCAGCCCGTAAAAATGTCCCTGCCAGCCCACCCTTTGTCACCAGCAGGCCACCACTAAGAAATTCAAACCCCCATTCGTCTTGTCCCTGCCCTGGAGGTCTGGGCCTGGCAGGGGGCTACTGTAGGCCCCTCCATTTCCCTAGACGCTGAAGATGGTCCCCAGAGCCCCGCCTTCCTGGCCCCGAGAGATGGAGGTGAAGTGGGGAGAGGTGGGGCCGGGGATCCTGGCAGTCTGGGGCCTCCAGCCTGGAGTTCTTCCTCCCACGGGCAGGCGACACCAAGCAGCCCCAGGCTGCGCTGAGGCCCCGCTCTCCGCTGACTCCCTCCCTGCTCTCTGCCCTGCGTCACCAGGAGGATCCTGCTGAACTACGCCGTGTACAACCCGGCCATCGGCTACTTCCAGGGCATGTCAGACCTCGTGGCGCCCATCCTGGCCGAGGTCCTGGACGAATCGGACACCTTCTGGTGCTTTGTGGGTTTGATGCAGAACACGATCTTCGTCAGCTCTCCTCGGGACGAGGACATGGAGAAACAGCTGGTGAGGCTGGGGGATGCGGGCTACAGCATGCTGGGGGACAGCACGCTGCCTCCTGCCCCTGCTGCCAGAGGTCTCAGGGGCCGCGTGCGGCATGGCTGCTGGGGGCCGACAGGCAGGAAAGGCCAGGACTGGAGTTGCCAATGGGGCCTGGCGGCTCAGCCCTGGGCCACAGGGAAGGCCCAGCTTCCTGGGAGGAATGCATGCTATTCCTCGGTCCCCACCCCATGCTCCCTGCAGGCTGGGCTTGCAGGGAGGCCCCTCCCCTAGTGACCTGCTGCCTCCCTGCATGTGGCCTCCCAGCCCAGGCTTCTGGTGGAGTGAGGAGGGGGAGGCCCACCACACCCAGCCCTGTGCTGTACAGAACGGGCCCCCAGCTACATCTGGGCTGCTCCCTGCAGGGCTCCAACACGGGATGCAGGAGTGGGAGGGGCTCCTGAAGCCACCCCGGGGGCCCCCTGGGCAGTCGCCATGCCCCATTCAGGGCCGCAGGCCTCCCCTCCGTGCCCAGCCAGTACACCCCCTCCTCAGGGCCTCCCCTAACCTGCACGGACCCGGCAGCTCTGACTGTTGGGGCAGGGGACAGCAGAGCCGGTGAGACAGGGCCTGTGTGTTCCAAACACCTGCCGGGTGCCGGGTGGAGGGCACTGGGATGTGGTCTGGGCCTTCCAGTCCCAGAGAGAGCCCCGGCCTGGAAGCTGACGGAGACGGGAAGCAAGGCCAGCAGGGCAGGCTGCACCTGGGATCTGCCCAGACTTGGCCGACACAGGTTCGGGCAGCCAGACTGTGTGGCCTGGTCTTTTGGGACCAGACATGTCAGGTGCAATGAGGACAGAGCTGAGTGGAGCCACTCGAATGCCAGGGCCAGGGACCGTATGTGAAAGGGGAGCAGAGCACAGCAGGGGATCTGAGGACGAGGGAGCCGACCCAGGAGCCAGGACCGGGAGGTGTGGCTTGGAAGGGGAGGGGACGTCCCTGTGGGGCCAGGGAGGGGTAAGCTGCGTGCGTGGTCTCGACCCTGTCGTGGGCCGCAGGGTGCAGAAACTGGCCAGTGGGAAAGGATCCTCAGAATCAGCGCCTAGGAGGGCCGGTGCCGCCCGGCAGCTGTCTCCAGCGGGAATGATGGGAGGGGCCTGTGAGTCACAGAGCCCTGGCCCAGGCGCCCCCCCACCCCAGCCACCCCCTAGCTGCCCTCTCCCCGCATCGGCCCTGGGATGTCAGGTTTCCAAGGCACCTAGGGAGGTAATTACGGGGCCTGACACGATTCGCCCCTGACGGGCTCATGCAGCACACGGCCCCGTGACTCATTAGCTGCCGGAGATGGATATTCTAAGGGCGCTGAAGTCAGCAGCCCGAGCTGGGCGCTGCCAGAAGTAGCCTGATGTCGTCCCTCACCCCCCACGTCACTGGGTGGTGACCGTGAGTGCAGGAGTGGAGCACTGTGAGGCTCAGAAATGCCCCCTCCCCGCTCTAAGTCGGCTCTGGAAGACGATGGGTCCTGGTGATGAGAAGGTGGTTGGGCTGGGGGTGCCACACACGATCTGCTCGTCTTCACCAGGAGGAGGGAGCGGCAGAGACAGCCCTGTGCACTGGCTGAGGCCCAGAGAGCTTCCCCGGCCACAGCAGGGCACCAGGCCCTGGACTGTGCCCCCAGAACAGTCTGAAATCTGGGATAAACTAGCCAAGACGGGTGTGTGTCGGATGCCAGCAGCAGAATAAAGGAAGCGGGTGCAGACACACCCAGCCGGTGGGGACCTGGTGCTCGACGTGTGCACTCCTGGGGTTGGGGGGCCCGAGGAAGGGTCCCAGAGGGAGTGGGCGTCTTGGGCAGAGCCTGGGGGGGCTCACTGGTTCTGGCCTCACCCCCAGCTCTACCTGCGGGAGCTGCTGCGGCTGACGCACCTGCGCTTCTACCAGCACCTGGTCTCCCTGGGTGAGGACGGCCTGCAGATGCTCTTTTGCCACCGCTGGCTGCTGCTCTGCTTCAAGCGCGAGTTCCCCGAGGCGGAGGCCCTGCGGATCTGGGAGGCCTGCTGGGCCCACTACCAGGTGAGCCGGGGCAAGGCTCCAGGCACCGGTCACCAGCAGCGCCCTGCAAGGAGGGCGGGGGTCTGCATGACCGTGCACCTGCCCCGGGGTCCCCCCCCCTGCAACCCCAGCCCCCACATCAGGCGACTGCCTTCTAGTCCCTCCCTCATCCAGTCCCTGGGGGCTGGCTTCAGACCTGCAGCTCGCCTCCCAAGTCACCAAAACAGATGCGAATGGCCCACTGACTGTGCTCATTACCGCGTCCTGGGGCCGAGCTCCCTGCTGCCACAACCAATCAGTGTGAAAGACATCCCTGACGGTGAGCAGGCCTCCTGCAGCCCAGGCCGCAAGAACCCCGGCCCTCCTTCCCTGCTCAGGACGGCTCAGGGAAAGAGCCTCCGACCCTGCATCCCCGTCAGCCCCTCTGGAGAGCCCAGGACCCCACTGTCCCACCCTCTACCCCCAGATTTCCACTTGCAGTCTGCTGTTCTCAGAGCCTCCTCTGCAAACCCCCGAGAGCATGGGGCCCTGTCACACGGCTTTAACACCCAAATTAACAACAAGGTGGCAATGTTAAAGGATGGGCAAGTCTCTTTGGATCCATCAGCCTTAAAAAAAAAAAAAATAGTATTGACGCATCCGGGAGGTGGCCAGGATCCTTTCTGCAAGAGCCGGCTTCGTGCTCACGGTAGAAGCCGGGCAGCTTCCTTAGGCCTTGTGGGTAGAGGGGACGCCCCGGCAGCCAGCCTGCTCCACCCTTACTGATGGCGCAGGAGGAGCATTCGTGACCGGAAGAGGCCACGCTGGGGCCATAAGCCGTCTCTGTGTCGGCCAGCCCCGTGTGCCCTCCGCGTGTGCCCTCGCCCCTGGCCCGGGTCTGGCTGTGCTGACCGCCTGGATGAGGGCACTTGGCGTGTACGTTCAGGGTGAACCATCTGCATTCATCAAAGGACGCACAGCGTGGATGGTCAGAGACACTGGATCACGTGTATTTTTTTGACTCAAGTCTGCTCTGCGGGGCTTCCTTGTCTGTTTTCCCAGCAGCGGATTTGCCACCCTCATTATATCGTGCTTAGGCCTCACGTTGCAGTGTCCCTCACCGCCGGGGCCACGTGGCACGGTGATTTTGATCACTGCGCTCTGTCTACATCCCAAGTTTCATGAAATCTAGGGGAAACTACGGGAGAGGCCCGCCTGGACGTCTCCGGTGGCCACCATTCTGCTTGAACTTGCCGCACATCAAGTTTATGCCTTTCAGATCCTGGACCGAATTTGGCCACGTTGGACCCTCCCCTTGACCACATTAGTGGCGCGGGGGTGGGGAGGTGGCCAGATGGTGGTAGTGGGAGGAGGCTCTTCACTTTATGAGTCTGGGGGTGGGGTGGGGGGCTGGACCGCCTCAGGCCTCGACCTGGGAATGGAATTGGGCCCGTCCTGCCGCCCAGCCCCATGCGGGACATTTCGCTCGCTCGGAGGAGCCGACAGCCCCCTTCCTGGAATTCTGCTGTCTGCCCCACCCCACCCCACCCCACCCCTGGCCAGAGTTCAAAAGGCTGCCAGAGGGTCGTTCCGAGCCAAAGCAAGACCATTTCCAGATTAGTTCAAAGGAAGGGGCCAGGCGGCCCCAGGGGGGGGGACAGTCGGCCCAGAGCAGGCTGGCGTGGGGCGCTGGCTGACCCAAGCCTCTGCCGGAACCGTGGGCTCCACTGGGCCGGCCCAGCTGTCCCATCTGGGCGGCCGGTTGACATCAGGAGACTAAACACGGGCTTCCTGATGCTCCTTGCTCTTCCTCTGCCCTCGGGAGCCAGTGTGAGTCAAAGGCAGCGTGCTCTCAGAGCATCCGGGCCGCAGAGCACACAGGATGCGCCCCGGTCGAGTGCAAGCCGACCCAGCGCTGGCTTCCTGCCGGGCGCCTGGCGTTGCTGGGCCGTGGCGTGAGCTGGTCTCCGAGGCAGGCAGCAGGGTCCTCGCGGAGTCCTTGCAGAGACAGAGACCGCAGGATCATCATACCCACCCCGCGGGGCCGGCAGGAGGCTGTCCATCTCCTCTCTGTCGGGATCTTCTCGATTCCTTAGCAACAAACCTAGGAGTCGTGTCTGGGGCAAGCGTTGGGATGTTCAGGCCGGAGGCAGGAAGACCCTGACCCGTGGGAGGCGGCCAGCACATTCTCTGTCGCTGGCGTGTTCCCAGACCCACTGGAGAGGATGCTGACCCAGGCTCTGCGCACACCCTCTTGGGCTCTTCTCAGCCCCTCTGTGAACAGGCTTCGGGATGAGCATGGGCCAGCCTTCAGAGGAAGCTTGCTCGTTGCCCCTGTGATGGAGGGCACCCAGAGGACTCCCAGAGGAACAGCAGCCCGTGGGTGGCACAAGCTCTGTCCCTTCTGTGTGTCACAGCAGCCTCTGGGTGCGGGTACCGCCCCTGAGCCCCATGTCGGGCGGGGGGGTGGGGAAGGGAACAGGGCAAAAGAGGCATGTGGCTTGCCCGGGAGCCCAGGATCCCAGCCTCACCCCACGCGTCTCCACTCAGCCTCCACCTGGGGCCTCATCTGAACCCTGCTGTCCTTCCCCCCTCCCCCCCAGACCGATTACTTCCACCTTTTCATCTGCGTGGCCATCGTGGCCATCTACGGGGATGACGTCATCGAGCAGCAGCTGGCCACTGACCAGATGCTGCTGCATTTTGGAAACCTGGCCATGCACATGAACGGGGAGCTGGTTCTCAGGAAGGTGAGTGCCTGCCCCCCTCCACGTGGCCCCACCTGCCAGGCACCCCAGCTGGTCCCACCATCAGGCCCAGACACCAGCGCCTCCCCCGCTGCTGCGTGGACTGAACAAATTATCCAGCTTGATAGACAGGCCCCCGCCCTCCTTGGGGCACCTCGCTCATGGCCCAGAGCACACAGATTGGGAAGGCAGCTTTGGGGGAGGGTGGCCACGTGTCATCAAGGCTAGTGGAAGGAAGAGGGGACGCTGAGCTTGGCCACCTCCACTTCCCAGACCCCACTGGCAATGCCGCCCGTGAAAGCTCTGTGGTGGTCTTCGGGGGCTGTAAGGAGCCACCCAGGCGCCAGCGGTCACATGGGTAGGAAGTGGGCACGGCGCTGCCCAGGACCCTGCAGAGGTTGAAAGGTGAAGGTGCAGGACCAGGGGAGCGCTGGGGCATCATGGCTGGGGGCTGAGTCGGAGGGGTCAGACGGGAGGGCCTGGACTGCCTGCCGCTGAGGCGGGACCCTCGGCGGCACCTGGCCGCCCTGCTCACCCCTTGGGGGACGGCCCTCGGGAGCCTGCCCCAGCCCCCAGCACCTGTCCTCTCTTCACAGGCCAGGAGTCTCCTGCACCAGTTCCGCCTCCTGCCCCGCATCCCCTGCAGCCTGCACGACTTGTGTAAGCTGTGTGGGACCGGCATGTGGGACAGCGGGTACATACCCGCTGTGGAATGCACGGGCCACCACCCGGGGTCGGAGAGCTGCCCGTATGGGGGCACGGTGGAGACGCCTTCACCCAAGCCCCCCAGAGAAGGCAAGAAGGGCCCAAAGATGCCTCGGGAAGGCTTCGGTTTCCGCAGATAGGGTGGGCTCCCTGCGCCGGACGAAGGTGGAGGGGACCTCCGCAGAGGTCCCGGGCATGTGGGAGGGGGTGGGATGGTAGAAACAGAAGGAACAAGACTTGGGGCAACAGGAAGGGATCCTTTTCGTGTTAATGACATAAGCAGAGCCTTGAAGTGACAGCTGCCCAGAGAAGAGTCACCTCCCAAAACGGGACCGGAATGTGCGGCCGTTCCTCCTGGAGCGGCAGGCTGGCTGGGTTCTCGGGGTGCCTGCCTCTGAGCCCGGGGCATCTTTGCACACCGGACATGCCTCCGCATCAGGCCCCATTTTCTGAGCGGGCCAGTCTCACTTTGCACAGCTTCAAAGCTGCTATGAAGAGATCTGGAAAAAAAAGAGAAAAAGAAAGAAAGAGAGAGAAAGAAAAAGAAAAAAGCGCGGTGACTACAGGATGGACAGGTGGAGGCGCAGTGGAGGGTCTGAGAAGCTGGGGGCTCTTCTGTGTCCACTTAAACATTCTTTGCTCCTGGTACGTGAAGGAAGCTGCCCGCCTGAGCCCGAGCCACGGCTGTTAGGGGTGGTTGGACCCTTCTCCCATAGTTGGGGGCCTCCTACATGAGGGTGTGTGACGTTTAGGGTCAGCCTCGCCACACACAGCTGGTGGCTGGGGGCTGCGTGGGCTGGGCCATGTGCACAGGCCAAATCTGCGATGTGTGGGGGACGCGGGAGCCCGTGAACTGAGCAGCCTGACAAGGGCACCCGGGAGGCCCAGTGGGGCTCCCGCTTCCCTTTGGGGCCCACGCGGCGTGAACGTGGGCCCCGTGCGTGTCAGCTTCTCAGGTGGCCGGGCTCAGCGGCGACTTGCTCACGCTACGGTGGCCAGCCCTCGGGACCCCCGCCTCCCGGAGGTTTAGGTCAGCTGCTGCTCCTTCGGGAGTTAGCGAGGGACGGAGGAGGACGTGGGAGGGCCCCAGCCTGCCGAGGAGCATCCAGCCGTCTGCACCGAAAGCCACTTCTTGAGCTGCCGGGATCTTGGAGGCTGGAGTCCTTCCCTGAATCTCCTGCTCACCCTCGAAGTGCCCAGGGTCCTGGAGGAGACACAGCCTCCCCTGGGGCTTCTTCCTGCCCTCAGCTCTGCTCCCCGGAGCGCGAGCGGCACTGCTGCTGCTGCTGCTGCCACTTTAAAAAGACACTTACGGACACAAGGGAGGACATTACCCGCCTCCTCCCTCCTAAGCTTCTCCATGACCCCACTATGTCCTCCAGCAGGCAAGGAGACCGAGACTGGCACCTCTGAGTTCCCAGAGCCCTCTGGGGAAAGTCTCCTGGAGCCGCCTCGGTCCCCAGATCCTTCAGTCCAGCAGCAGGGTCCAGGCTGGGTGGGGCTGGACTTGTCACCTGCCCTGCCTTGTGGCAAAGGGGCATTGCCTTTCTGTGCCGGCCCCCGTGCCCAGGAGTATCAGTTAGCCACCGCTTTGGCAGTGCCACGTAATAGGTAGCCCCCAAAGCCATCTCACCCTAGTCTGAGCCCCAGCAGTTCAGGCTAGGTACTTCTGGTCCTGGCTGGGGCTTGTTCCCACGTCTGGCGTACCTGATGGTTATGTCCCAGAGGGGTGCTCGCGTGTGTAGGGGTCAGACCTGGCGCTGCTCCATGTTTCCTGCATCCCCCCTGCACGCTAACCCCAGTCAAGGCAAACGTGCAGAAGCAGAAATGCACAGGTGCCTCCCCAAGCCCTGGGGGAGGCCACACCTGCTGTCATCCCATTGCCAAAGCAAGTCATGGGGTTAGACTCAGCATTGGGGATGGGGTGGGGGGTGAGAACAGACCCCCCCCCCACCTTTAGCAAGAGGTGCTGCACAATGACGCGGGGAATTCAGAGCATGAGGAACTGGTTGGTACGTCTGACCTGCCTTTCCAGGAGATTTCGGTCCAAATAACCCTGTTTGGCAGGGGGGTCCCCTGTCAGGGGCAGGGCGTGTCCCCCTGGGAAGGCTGGAGAGGCCCAAGAGGAAGGAGGATGCTCCTCAGCGCACCCCGTCTGGCAGGATAGCAGCCGTGTATTGTACTGAGATACCTTGTGCCTTTGGGCTGCTGTGTGTGTGTCCAGGGGTCCCTTCGCTTTTGAGGGTCCTGAGTGCAAAGCATTCATGCTGCATCTCCCGGCTCCCACAGCTCCCCAAGACCTCGTACCAAGTGCCATCCCGCCCTCACTGCTCCCGCCTCACGCCCCTGCGCTTCTGAGCTGGGCCCCCGGGAGACCTAACGCCTCTCAGAGCAGCCACAGTCTCGGAAGCCAAGGACCTGGACATGTGGGCTCTTTGAAGAAAGGCTGCTCTGGAGGGCTGGGGAAGGCCCGCCTTACAGGGCTCCCTTAATCTGGGTGCAATTAGAGGAAACCAGCCAAAAACCCTGCGGCCTCAGGATTATTCGCAGCCAGCTAAAGGCATTAGGGTGATAATTCCGTCATTAGACTTCTAGCCTTCCCACCTCCCAAACGTGCAAATATGGGATAATCAGCCCGGCACGGCCATCCTCGGTGATGCTGCTTATTTAACCCATTTTTTTTTTTAAATGACACTTAATGTTATTGGCCGGTGTGCGTGCGCGCGCATACTTAATTTCCCCACCACTAATGTCTCTGCCGACGATGCAGGATGTCGTCGGGGCCCCTGGGAAGAGAGGGCGCTTTGGATTCGCTCCTGCTGGCACAGACGGGGCAGCGTGGCGGGGGCTCGCCAGCCCGGGGAGGGTTCGTGCTCCCTGGGCAGAGGGGGTGGCAGGAGGATGCTGGGCCCGGGAGGGTGGGGGACGCCCGCGCTGGCGGGCTCGGGGCCTGGTTGGGTGCAGAGAAGAACACTGTGCTATTCCAGAAGGCTCCAGCTCCAGTCCCGGCCAGGAAGGCTTGGAACTCACAAGTTATGGGAAGAGCTGTCCCCGAGCCAGTGGGTGTGGGAGGGACGGACAGGGTGGCGAGGGGCCCCAGCCAACCCCCGCAGAGGGGAGGGTCTGCGGTCCAGGAGGGGACGGAGGCTCCATCGACAGGATGACGCCCCTGGTCCTCAAACGGAGGCTTTTCCCAGGCGAGGTGGCAGCGGCCGGCGGAGGCCAGCCACACTGAGGTTTGACGGGTGGATGTTTGGAAATGGGACAGAGACTGTGGGGCGGGAGGGCGCTCTGTGCCCCCCTCCATCTTTGCGAGCTCCCTGAGCTCCCTCGCCCGTTCCTCGTTTGGCAGAGGTTGGAGCCTGGCAGTCGGCAGGGTGATGGGCATGCTCCGCTTCGGCTCCCCTCCCCGCAGGGAGGCTGGGGTGTCGGGCCACCAGGGCGGGCACCAGGGATCCCGCAGCAAAGAGAAGGGAGCCTCTTCCAGTTCGCCCAGCAGAGGCTCCCGGAGCCGCCCTGCCCTGCGAGGCAGGAAGGAAGGGGCATTGCCCCAGGGAGACCCACCCACCCCGTGTGCAGGGGTGTGGACCGGTGTGGACGGGTGTGGACCGGGCCAGACGAGGGGCCCAAGGCAAAGGGAGGGACCTGAAGGTGCAGCCTGAGGCTGGACCTGCCCCATCCCCAGAGACCCCAGGGAGGCGGACAGCCCAGGATCCCGTTAGCCCGGCGGCCAGGCCGCCCCTTGGAGTGAAAACCGGGAAGCTCCGGGCTCAAAGGGAACGGCCCCAAAGGCAAGCACATGGCCTCCGTGGTTGTGAAGCCCGAGGCCAGGGCTCCCCTAGGGGGCAAGTGGTCTTGAGCCTCGGTTTCCCCATCTGTAGTATGAGAAGGGTGCCGCCCACCCCACCCCACCCCACCCCACTGACCATCCATGGGAAAGCTGCCCTGAGGGTGGTTTACCAAGCCCCCGGGGCCTCACCCCGCCACTCAGGGAAAAGAGCCCGGAGCTTGGCCTGCTGCAGCCTTGCCCACGCGCGGCCACGTGCCCCTGGACTCCGGAGCTCGCCAGCGAGCCCGCTCCCTCTCACGCCCACCGTGCTGCGTGTACCCCGCCCACGGGAAACCTCTCTGTGCCTCTTCCGTAAAGTTCACCCCACTCCTGCCACCAAGAAAAATCAACCAGGAACCGGAACCCCAGCGACCCTGCAAGACGTCGGTCAGCGTGGGCGTGCAAGGCTCTGGAGCAGGGATGTGGCTCGTGCACGCAGGGTCCTCCCCGTCCACGGTGGAAACCAGCCGAGCTAGGACTGCGGCCTCCTGGGCGGTGCTGGAGGACCAGGAGAGGGGCGACCCTGGGCCTCCGGGGAGCAGGGCGGAGGCGCGCGCGGCCTGCGGGCATCTGGTCCTTTAGCTACATCGCGTGGACTTTCTAAGTGGGAAGATGACATGCCTGATTCAGAGAGCTCAAGCCGCTTGGCCATCTTCTCTCCCAGCACGTCTGGTTAGAGGGCGGGGGTCTGCTGTTCAAGGAAAATGTTAATGGACTGTCCACTGTTACCAGCAGATGCCCTCGTCCGCGGCAAGCAGTGCTTTCTCTCTGTTTTGTTCTGTTTTATGAATACAATTACCTGTCAGTCAGGCCCTGCCCCAGGCCAGGACTGGTCACCGCAACCCACCCACCCGTCACCATGGCCCCAACAGTGCTTCCGGCTCTCCTGGATTCCCCTGGAAAGTAAATAAAGTCCTATCGACAACGAATATATGCTGTACGGCGCCTCCGGGAGGTCCGCGGCAGGGCCCGGTGCTGGGCACAGAAGACCAAGGAAGGCCCTGCAGATGCTTCTCGGGGACTCCAGGATGGGGGGGGCGGGGAGCAAGTGGACGGCAGACGGAGCGGGGGGTGCAGGAGGGCAGGCCAGGGCCTGCAGGGCCCAGAGCAAGGGCAGCTCCTGCCTCCGCCTTGGAGAGGTCGGTGGGAGAGTTAATGAAAGGCTGGGGAAGGCCTGTGAACCCCCAGCAAGTGGGGGCCCCGAGACCGGCCCCAGCGCCTGGAAGCACACACAGTGTTTTATTGAGACTCAGCTGCCAGGGCTCCGGTTTCAGGAAAAGCTGGAGTCTTGCATTTGAGAACTTTTTTCAGGAGGCAAACAAGGTGAATTTGACCTTGTTGCAGGGGGCGGAGCGGGGTAAGAAGCTGCATCCGTGCCTCTCACCTCGCAGCCCCACCAAGCCCTCCGAGCCGTGATGTGCTGCGGGGCCAGGCCCTGGGGGCTGTGGGAGGGGGCCCAAGGGGAGGCTGGGGGTTGTTCTGGGTCCTCCTGGAGCACCGGGGTGGGGTGTTGGGCTCCAGCCCTAAGGACGGGGCCACGCATTTCCACTGTTGCATGTGCCTTTCCATTCTTGGCCTGCAAGAGGCAGGGGACAAGTGTGAAGCTCTTCTGGATGTCTACACCGCTGGATGTCTCATGTCTGCAGGGCCCGCCTCGCCCTCCACCTACCTGGTCTCGTCGGCCCAGCTCTGCATGCATGGGTGCCCCTGCCTGAGGCCAGCTGGGCAGGTGCCACCAGGCCGGGGGTGTGGGCGGGCAGCAGGACAGGCGATGCATCAGCCTCTGCGCATGACTGGTGGCTCCAAATAGAGAAAGCTTGGCCCTTTCTGGGGGGTAATGTGTTGTTTCCCCATCATGCTGGAAAGCCAAGCCCCAGCCCTCACCTGGGATCTGAAGCGGGCCGAGATGGGGCCTGGAACCCAGGGTGGGAGCAGCTGGTCCTCTGGGAAGGATGGTCCAGCCCCCACAGCTCAGCCCTGCAGAGGGATGGGGCCCCTTGTGAACCCCCACCTTGGGCCAGACTGCCCCTGCCCCCACCCAGAAGGGCCTCTCAGAACTGTCGGGCAGCTGGCTCCCTGGGTCTGGTCCAACCAGGATGCTCCAACAGGATGTTTGTCTTTGCTCCACTTGTCCTCCCCTAAATAACAACCTAGTGTCACAGCTAAGGGGACATGCTGCTCCAGTGAGCCAGGCTCTTCAGGGGCCGCCCCAGAAAGGCCGAGCTGTCCGCCTTCCTGCGGTCCCCAGGACCCTGTGTGGAAGCGGCTTCTGCTGCAGTGTAGACAGCCGTCTACACTACTCACAGTATCTCTACCTCAGCTAGTGCCAGAGGGGATGTTCCTGGGGGTCTCATTCACTTCAAAGCGAGTGACCTCCTGTAGGGAGGCCTGGTGCCATTGCACCATGCACCTGCTCCAGGGGACTGAGCGAGCACATCCCTGGGGCTTCAGGGGCAGGTGCACCACAGCCCTGCAAACCCTCCAGGGAGCAAGGATAAGCCACTCAGACGTCCACGCCGTCAGGGCCCAAGGGGCAAACCCGAAACACCCGGGGTCTGAGCAGCCTCTCCCCACTCTTCTCTGTCAGGCCCAATCGCATCAGTAGCCCCATTGACCCCGGTGTGCCTCCTTTTCCACCCACCCATCTGAGGATGTGGCATGAAGTGACCTCACTACAGAAGGGCATGGGTGTGGCCTTGCCTGTGGGCACAGGTACGCGCACCTCTCCGCCTCCTTGCAGCCACCTGGGGTGGAAGGGGACAGGCCCACGTGGTCACTTTCATGCCCCAACACCTGCTGCTGGCCTCGAGGGCCACACTTGGGTTTGGCACCCGGACTCCCCAGAAGCCCCCTCCTCGTGTGCTCCCTCCCCGCCCTCCTCTCCCTGCGTCACAGGAGAGTGCCCGGATCTCTGGGCTCCTGGGGCCTGTATCGTCATTTAGATAAAGTGGCTTGAAAATAGGCCACTCCGTCCCCTCGTCCTCAGGTCAGAAGCCACCCGCTCTCCCATCAGCTATCTGACACTGAACAAAAAGGGGCCACTTTTTATTTTGGGTCATTGGAGGGAAGGCCTTAACGATGCTCTGGGTCGATGTCTGGGTGCTGCAATTGGGATGCTGCAGCAGAGGTCGGGCGCCACGGACGGGGACGGGAGCAGGTTCAAAACCCCCCCAAGCAATGGAGGACACGGGCTGGGCAGCCAAACAGGAGGCCTTCGCCAAGGACCAGACACGAAGTTCATTGATTTCAGGCCATGAGTACGCACAACAGAAAGAGGCGCTGAAGGTCCCAGTGGCCGCGATCACGGGAGTCCTGCTGGGAGGGGAGGTCAGGGAGCTGGACTGGGCTCCCTGGAGGCCAGTGGTCACTGTCTGGTCAGCAGTTCTAGGAGGACACGCGGAAGATTCTGAGAGGGTTACCCCAAAATGACTAAAGAGACCTGGAAAAGGCAAAGGATTGGGCCCCATTCAAAGTAAAGACGAAGGATGATACTCGTTATCAAGGTTTGGTGAGTTAGTGAGGTGCGGCCCGCTAGCTGGTCTCCGTTGGCAGATGGGCAGCCGGGGTGGGAGGTGGGCGGGGTGGGACAAGCTCTGGCTTTTTGTATTAGCTCAGCCGGAAGCCGGCTTTCTGAGACGTGGCCCCCATGTCCTGCAAAGGGAAACCCAAGTGTCCTTGACCAACAATTAGCTGAGAAAAAAAAAAAAACAACCAGGAACAGAGACTGTGGGGTGAGGAGCAGATGGGATGACCCCTGGTGGCATTTCCCCCCCATCAGGACCGGTTCCAGGCATCTGGCCCCACCCTGTCTTCTGTCTACACTGGAAAACTTGAGAAAGAAAGTGCCCGTGACCCTCTGACCCCTGATCCCAGTGCCCTCTGGGAGGATCCCACCTACCTACCCAAAGAGCAGGGTCGGGTCCTCTTTCCAGGCACATTTCCAGGCGTCTTCTCGATTTGCTGATAAATCCCCAGGTTCTGTGAAACGATTCATTTAGATGGACGTGGGCCCCAGGACTTGGTCTTGACTGCTCAACTTGGCGACGTGACCCCCTGAGCCAGGGAGATATGTACGGGTGAACTTTTGGGTCACGGAGTTGGCCAGCCTGAAGCGGGGCGGCGTGGAAGGGGTGGGCGGAGCCCGGGGTGAGGGTATTTCCAGGGGAGCTGGACCCTTGGCTTTGCAGAGGTGTTGAGACCAACAAACCGGCTCTTCTGCATTTTGCGTGGGGTGCACACCTCTCTGCTATGGATGGGGATGGGGCCTTTCAGGGCGGGTGAGACCCACGGACTGGATCCGGGTTTAGTGCAGGTTTAGTGCATGGGGCTGCCTTCAGGTGCCTACAGGTGGGACAGCTCAGCAAGGCCGGGACTGGGTCCCCCTCGCTTCTGGCCCGCAGCTTCCCTCTCCCCTTCCCCAGCCTTCCGTACCTCCCCTCCCCGATGAAGGATTCTGCAGATTTAAGAGTCTTACCAATAGCATCGCTGCCCTCAAGCCCCTGGGCCAGACTGCGCCCTCTGGGGCAGCCCCAAAGAGGTCCCAGGGTCCCTGAAAGGGTGGGAGGCTTACGGTCTGAAATGCAGTTACTTGTTCCTACACAGACCCCAACCCCCATCACATGCCCGAAACGGACCCACCAAGGTCTGCTTGTAGAGTGGGCTCCTGGGGCCCCACAATCCGGGTAATGCTTAGAAGGGACACCTGTCCAGGAGGAGTCCCACAGACCCCTGTGGCTTCTGTACCCCCAGCAGTGGATGGGTACCTAGGAGAGATGGGAGGATCAGACAGGACTGGACCCCCTGCCATGGGGTGTTTTCTAGAAAGCAAGTTCCAATGCCCCCCGGCCCTAGACACCAGGTAGCTCCGAGGGAGGCAGCAGGTAGGCTGCACCTGTCTCCCCAGCCCCCCAGCCTCCCCAATGAATCCAGGCACAGAGCTGCTGTGGGACTCAGCAACACGGTCACGTCCCTGCAAAGCCTGCTACTCACCAGGTACGGCTGTCCCAGGAGGGAGGGAGGTGGGTGGGCAGGCGGGCAGGCACTCACATCCCTGCCCCGGCCCCCTGGCCTCCCGAGCCCTCCACCCACCCGGGGCCTGGACAGCTGGGGTCCCCGCACTGCAAGCCCCACTGGGGCCCAGGGCAGAAGGAGGCACGTGTGGGCACCGTGGGGCCACCCGACCTCAAAAATAATCCTCCACACTAATTCCCATTTCCCCAGGAAGAGGGCCCACCGCTCAGATCCATCCCATTTTCTGCAGAAGGGGCTTTGTTGCCGTTTCTTTTCACACCCAGAGAGCCTTTTCTGGGCCGTGGGGATCCCCGCCTACACCAGCCGGGGGAGCGCTCAGAGCCACCACCCGAGCGTGGGGCAGGGAGGCACCTGGGTGGGATGGGAAGAGGCGGCCCCCTCCATCCCCGTCCCTGCCACCCCCGGGCCCACTGATCTAATCGTATCAGGTGTGCTCCAGATAAATATTAATAACCCAGTGACAGAGGGAATTTGGGAGAATCTAATTAAAATGACACCGTGCAAGCTGGCAGCCTCACCAAAGAATCGTTCCCAGTGAAACCCAGGGGCCGGGAGAATAAAACACGCGGAGCCCCCAGGAGGGTCTGGAAAGGAAGAATCAGCCGGCCCCTCCTCGCGGCCACACCCCCGGGACAGTCGCGCTGCCCACCTGCCCCCAGCCCACCCGCCAAGGGCAGTGGGGCAGGACGAGCAAGCCTCGGAGGGCCCGCGTCCCTCCCGGGCACCACCCCTGGGACCCAGCCTGGGACTAGGGCACCTATTCCCCGGACACCCGGCCCCTTACTCCTCAGCACACCCGGCCTTGCCCTTGGCCTCTGTCTGCACCCCACTAACACTCTGCGTGCAAAACCCGAGCACACACGCCGCGCCCCTCGGCCTCCTCCAGAGGAGAGAAGAG